CTGTTGTGATGTTCATGTTTGTATTCAGTAAGAAAAGAAACCCAGCTCAGTTTTCCTTTGAAAATAAATGTTACACCTGTTATTTTTAGGAACGGACAAGATTTTTCCCTCGTGTCTACAATTACGTTTTTAAGCTCTGCCATGCAGGAGCTTCCACATGTCACTTAGTAGTGGTCGGTCGGTCGGTCTGTCTGTCTGTCTATCTCCGAAAATTTACCAAAAATATTTGACCAAAAATTGACCAAATGCCATGCCGTCGTCAGTTTATGCACTCTTGGTGAAAGTTATCGGAAAAGGGACTTTGTCTCGATCGGTGCGCATGCAAGAAATCGCTCAAAACACATCTGTTTCTTTATATCAATTCACCTTCATCTTTTCCTCTCATTATCCCCTGGTTCCCTTGAGTTATTCTTAAATTAAGTTTTTGTTTTGTTTTTGTTTTTGCCTTGTTTATTTGTAGATTTGTAGTTTTGTAGTTTTGTACAGCGCTTTGATCTTTGTTAAAAGCGCTTTATAAATGCTCCATTTATTATTATTATATGATTATTATGCACGTCCATTTTACGTACGTCTGTCCCCGGAAAATTGACACGAGCCCCCTAAGTTTCCAATACAATATAACTACCAAATTTTAATTTAAAAAAAAGAAGTCAATTTTCAGCACTTGATTTTCGCTTGGGACGCCAGCCCGGGGTTGTGCTTATACGCACAATCATTTCATGCTAGACTCTCATGCAAGACGGCCACAGCTTATTGTGCACTCACACTTGTTCATTTACACATCTGAAAAGGGAACACTCTCTAGACAGCACCCCAAATGCACATCAATCTGTCAATCTTCTTAGAATACCGTCGCCCGAATTAATCACAGTCTGTTGCCCATTGGGTCCCCTGACCCCCGTTGTCTTGTTGGAAAAGCAGAAGCCTTATTAAAGAGAACCTCTATACCAAGGTGAAATCATAGAGTTAAGATACCATGTTCAATAAGTACCACGTCCCTACACTACTACGTCTTCCAAGAGATAATGTGCGATACATTCATCTTGAATACACTTTGTCTGTTGTGTCATTCGCAGCACGGAGTAGGCTGTCTGAGGGCGGTTTAGTGAGAGTAAATTCCGGATAATCCCGGTCAAAGAAGAGACCCTGAGACTTCCCTTTATAGAAACCCGCCGAGACACAAGGCTGTACGGAGTGGAAAATCTTTTGAATTTAATTTTCAGACTTTCGCCATCTCGTGCCTAGATTTGTAGGTTTTCGATTCCCTTTTTCATGCCTGCTTCGGGAAGGATAAACCAATTGATTCTTAATTGAATACATTTTACTGGTTTGTTGTTAGCGATGACACGCACTGGTGTTACAAAAACAGCAGTCGCATCTGTTGCGTCACTAACTCGATTGCATGGTATGTATTTTTTGCAAAACATGTCCTCGAAAAAAATGAAGCACATGTTTTGAACAGAATTCTTTCACCGGCGTAAAACACAGGAGCATGGAAAACCTTTTAGGCCAACCTATCTGTGGATACGACACTTTTCGAATAAAGAGTGAAGAACCGGCTATGCACAACCTTTTGATCTCGAAACACGGTCGCGTCGGTAGCACTGAAAAAATATCATAAGATGGAATATTTTCCAAACCTGCAGTCATTTGACTGATTGTTGGAAATTACCTTCATTTCTTGATTTCTTGTAAATGACAGCAAGCCAGACGGAATAATTTCACGGGGTGTTTAGTACCAGGACGATCTTTAATCCAAGTAAGCATTTTGATAATAATTCCGTAGATAATTTTACGGATGAATGCAAACGATCCTATATGCTTTATTGCATATTTGCATGGAGAGGAGGGGGAGTCCCTTTTGTAAAATCATCCAGTTAAAAGAATGTGCTTAAAAAAGGTAGGTCTGCAAGTTGTTCAAATATTGTGTTATATTTTGTATTAAATGCATGAAACCTGCATTCATTCAGATTTAAACCGCGTTTCACTCCAGATGCATCGTCCTGGAAAATGTTAGCGTAGATATAAACCGCATATGGGGGCGCTATATGCGATAACAGAGTATTGGTGAGACTCGCGAATAAACGAGGCACCTGGTGAGCGAAAGGGCGCCTCCATTTACTGGGCATAGACAGCTTTGAGCACGTTCTGGCGAGGGCCATTAGTCCATTAGTGGTTGATTTGTGACGTAAATTACTCCTGCGCACTACTAGCGACGGGCAAACGCCTCTAGTCACAAATGGCCGAGTTCGGGGGGTCTGTTCTTGACAAGGGTATATTGTTCTCGCGCTCGAACGGCGGGATCGAACACGACCCACGAACACTACTCTGGGAACAGGATACTAGGATCACACACCACCTGTCCGTCGGGGTCCTGGCTCCCTGGTGTGCATTTTGATCTGCGCGCGGCTATTGGTAACCAGCGACATGCCCAGTTGTCCGATCCCAAAAAGTCCACCAAAGTAGTCCACCAAAGTAATCCAACCATCCTGCGTTTTTAAGTGAAGTTAGTCGAACTATGGTTCACTATAGTACTCGGTCGAACTTGCTCAATGACGGAAAACTATACCGCCCTCTATTGGTGTAACAGAGCAATGCAATGTCTTGGACTGATGCCAAATAAAATTAAATGACAGTCACGGTTTTCAGGAGACGTAGTTTCAAGTCAAAGTTCTATCAATCATGTTTAAACAGAATAGTGACTGAGTTTTTTAATTTTTTTATTTTTTATTACTATTATTATTAATATTATATTTTACAGATTTCCTATCCTCTCTTCGTTACGGTTAAAATCGCCATGTGACAATTGTATCAGGGTTTGGCATGAGCTCTTCATGATACGTAAAAAGTGGCACATGTAAAACAAACAAAACTGTCTATGATAAAAACAGTTAGAAGTTTGGAAATATCCCGACTGCCCTGCGTTGAGTACATAAAGGTAAATTGTGCATGACACGACGGCGACACTTTATTTGTACACGCCTCGCGAAAACTATATAATAGTCACCAATCTTTGGGTGTACTTAATATACCCAACGTACGATGAGTAGCAATAGCGCCCCCGGCGGTCATTGTAGTTCAACGCCATGCAGTTGCACCATGTCTCTTCGTCATGTCACAAACACAAGGTTGCAGACCAGTAAATAAACTTCCATAGACCCAATGGTAAATGCTCCCACTTCAGAAATTCGGGGAAAATACTCACAACTCTCCAAGGTGTTCGAGACACACATCAAATTAAAGCTTATTTCATCATCTTTCATTTTCTTTTCAATTGTTTGGGGGTGAACTGATGACTTTTAGGAGAAATTTCCATCCAAAGATGATCACCCCTGAAAATAGTCCCGAAGCCCATCGCCATTTTGAAAAACGATGCCTACACTCCATTGCAAAATAGAGCGCTTTGAGGGCCCCAATTTCATCCAAATTGAACGGAACTATTAGCTCACAGTCCTGTGCACGGCTTCCACCCATATTTTTTGGAAATCGTGATTTGGCCGGCGTAGGCAATTTCGGACCGATTTACTGGTCTGCAACCACAAACCAATACCGGCCCTTTTTTTTTTAAAGGTAAGGATTCAGGTAAGAAGTCAGGTACAAGACATACACATGCACTTGGTTTACCGACTTGTCCATATGGGTCCACTTTTATACAGGTTGTTCCAGCAGAATCGCAATAATTTCATGTTTAAAATCAACTCATCCTCCACACTAAACAAACCCAGACGCAGAGTGTTTGTTGTCAAAATAGGATTTACATTTAATTGACACACAGTGTGGGTGTGTGTGGAGTGACTGTATAGAAGGCGTCAGAGCAAATAAACCCGTCCGTCAGACCACGTACCGTGTGGCGCAACCACACGGCACAAAGTTGGATAGTCGTGACTTTCCATGGAACATATTTCAGTCGCTCTATAACAGGCTGGACTGGCAAGATTATTTGTTTTTGTCAGCGGGAGTAGAAAGTGTTTTCGAACGAACTTCACGATGAAGGTATACTCTGGCTGATAAATCACCCTGGTGCAGTACGCGACCTTGCCTTGTTGTCTGTGTAATCGTATCTTGTTTTGTTGGCCTTCATATCTACTGCATCGTTCCTGTTTTCTTACTCTTCTCTGCCGATGTATTCCTTTTTTTTGGTATCTTTTGCTCTTCTTTAAAAGCCCGGTGTGATCAGAAATACCTCTTGTCATCTTTAAATCTACTGGCAAGCATTAAAGTGAAAACCTTTTAGTACACGGTTATGTCCCCCAAACAGTGCCCTTCTGACCATTTTTGAAATAACTACAAAACTGCGAGGTCGATTTTGAAATGGTTTGGTTGTGCAGATACTCCTTGGCCTCAACCCTTGTGACTGTCATTTAATTTCAGTCACGTATCTCTACACACACACACAATTGCCAATTGATCACAACAACATTTGTTGGACACTGTGACCAAGTTCCTTGCCTTATTCAATTTCAGTGCTGCGTTAAGTAAGCTGTGTAAAATCCTTCATGTTGTGAAAACGGCTGCAGTTGGGATTGGCGTCATTTGCCTGGCTATCAGTCATCATGGCAAGACATTAGTTAAATGCTCAAAGGCAAATGATTCCAATCCCAAAACACATCAGCTTGTTTTTCTCACCGTTCAGGATAACACAGCACTGAAATTGATTAAGGCATAAAACTTGGTCACAAGTGTCCAAAAACGTTGTTGTGCCCAATTGACAATTGTGCAGTGATGCATGACTGAAATTATATCAATCTCATAGGGGTTGAGGCCAAGGCTTAGGAATATCTGCACAACCAAAAAATTGACCTCATGGTTTGTAGTTATTTTAAAACCAGTCAGACTGACACTTTTTGGGGATATACTTTTTTGGGACATACTGTTTATACTCCAACTTTTAAACAACCCCTCAATCAAACTCCATTCTGGGTTTGTATAAGTTCGGTAGTTGAAACGAGTTTTCGCAGCGGTGTTGTTTAATTTTATTTTATTTGCATTCGTCCACAGAACAATATGGACTCCAATCTTTAGGACTGTTGGCAGCACACAGGACACTCCACATGTCTTGTTAAGGTAAGTGCCAGGGTGCACTCTGATTGTTATTATTATTTTTTATTTTAAAATTGAAAACTGCAGACATTTCCAGCTCTCTTTTAACACAAGATTGGTTGTACTTGACCCCGAGCTGACCACTTGGGTCGACTGGTTGCAACTTTAAAAAACATTGTTGACAGGAAATCTACTTTTAATTAAAACAAATGGAAAAGAAAAAAGCTCAAAATTAACAGTTTAAAAATTTACAGTTTACAATTTTACAGTTTAAAATGTACCAAAAAAGTAGTTAAACTAACCCTACTTCTTATTCAACTTTACGGAAGAAAAAAAAATACTATGAAAAATTATTCGCCTTATCATTGTGCCAATTGACAAAAGACGCCAATGTAAATGCGGAGAGTTTTCAAAATAATACAAAAAGTAATGACTTTCCAAATTCGCAAAATGTATCATTCTTTTGAGGTTTGAACTTGTACCCTCTGGATTGCCGTTCCGGTGCTGTTCTGAGCCCAACGTTGGCGGTTTCCCATGTGGTCAATGTCTTTGTTCAAGGGGTGTTAGACAGAATCGGTAAACCCGTGTATATACAAGTTCAAATCCCGCTCCAATCAATTTCTTTGTTCAACTTTAAAGTTATCACAGTGCACGTGGTCAGTTTCCCTAACCACCCCACCGTTCGGGTGAAGTGTCAGAATTATTGTAAATGACTACAGAAAAGTATTTTGATGTATGGGAATTTTCATCTGTTCCTTTCGCACGTCGTTAGCACTTCGCTTAAGATAATGTGCGGGGCGGGAGGGGGAGGGTTAGCGATTTTAAAGCACTTGCGCCGGTTCTTTGTATGGATTGCGTGTCAAGCCTTGTGTAAACAGCTTATACATTTTGTGATGGATATCGTTTTCCCCCTACCCATATCCCCCATATCCATGAAAAGATTGTCATTAAGCTGTTGACATGATGAAAGATGTAAAAAGTCAGAAAAGAAAGCCAAAAGCACTTAAAGAGGATCAATAAATAACTTGATTCTAACAGGACGTTAAAAGCCGTTTTGAATTAGGTAAGTGTAATATTTTATTACGTCGAGTGGGTTTGGACGGTCCTTGTCAATTAACACTCTCCTGACAACCGAAATACATATTTCTTATTGAACATGGTGAGAAACTGGTTTTTATCATATACAATAGTATGTGTATCATCTTGCATAAAATCCTGACATTAATGTGCCTTTTGCTTGGACAGCTATAACATTGAACTGTGTTGCCTGGTGCCGCATCCATTCCGCTGCGGTGAAAATGAAAATTGAACGGGTGAAATATGAAACATACTGGTGAAAAGTAAACGTGGATGTCAACGAATGAGCTGCGGTAAAAAAAAATTAATGAAATTCCTGGTTAGTCAAGTACCTCCCTTGGTTAGACCAAACAAAACGTTGGCTGTATAACAACAAATATTAATATACCGTTCCATTACTGCAGCTGCACTTAACGACTGCTGTCCCGCAAGAGACTGTGTTCACTCCTGTTGAGAAAGGCAGTGTACTTTTCTTGTCCTCAAATTTCAAAACGAAGATTATACTAAAAATCTAAACGAGGACAATGTGTAATCTACGATATGTCAGTCGACACGTGTGCGTGTAACACTATAGGTATGTGAAGTAAGCATTAAACATTGTATACTCTTTGTGGACCTGTGAACAGAAGAGGTCCACAGGGGTGCAGGATGTGTGAACGTTTTGTGGACTTGCACAGGTCCACACAACGTTTCCCCCCTCTCTGAAAAAAAAACAGGTTTAGAGGCATTTTGGGGTTAGTGTTATCGTCACAAAATGAAGAGTGACGGTCAAGGAAACCATAATCGGAAAGTCGTGTTGAAAGAATGTTCGCAGTGTGAGTATAACCTGTTTCCAGTGGCGTAGTTGGGGGGGGGGGGGGGGGGGGGGGGGGGGAGGGGGGGGGAGGCAGTCCTCCCCCCCCCACAAATTCCCAGTGCTCCCCCAAGTGCCCCCACCAACAAATCTGAAATTTCCCGCTTGTCAAGGAAGTGTCTTTTTGAAGTATTTGTTTGAGTAATTAAAAGAAAGAGGAAACCGCATGGTTTTATTAAATGTGAATAAATTGATAAAACAGAGCGCCCTCCAGCGTCAAAAGAGTGCCCCCCCCCCCCCCCCCGCTTTTCGAATTTGCAGCACTTGCGGTGTCCTGGGAATTTAGGGGAAATGTTGTTGGGTCCACCCTTTGTGCCTTCTCATAACATGCTGGTGCCCCCGGACCCGTACCCCCGGCTACGCCACTGCCTGGTTCGAATATTCATTACAATTTTACTTCACACTTTATGTGGTGTTTTTGTGCGTGCTAGTACGGCTAATAAGACAACAGTACATTGATTCCGTAAAGACAAAAGTGAATTGATTGACACCACAGCAGGCCACAGTTTGGACATGGAAAGAACAAAAAAAATCTCCATCCGGCAACTACGCTCAGTCTTGCGCAATCTTTAAATATTTAATTCGAACATGTCCTTTAAACATGTACTTTCCTGTAAGCACAGCTGACAAGGAAACGATGCTGACACGAGTTTTATCACTTAATCGAGTGCTGTCGGGGATTGAAAAAAAAAACTCTGTTTGTTTATCATCAATCGACTCCCATCCATCTAGTTAAAAAGTAAGCCAAGCACCTCGACGTGGGCGTTTTTTTCTTTACTTTTTAGCCAAAACCTATTTGTGTAAAAATGTACAGAGGTGGTAATATTGTAGGGGTGCGCGTTTTATGAAATACGCGCGAACGCCCCAGAGCGTAGTATGCGTCGCCGAACCCGATCGCTGTAAAACTGAATACAACGGGGAACCTTTCAGTTCTCGTACAAATGTAAGTTTTGTTTTTTTGTAATGTAAATAAGTCTCGTTTCTGTTGTCCATTGTGTTTAACATGCGTCGACTTTACTGCTGCACTTCAGGGAGTTTCCTGACCATACATCGTTACTTTAACCGAGTAAATAGGCAATCGTTCACAGAAAAAAACCCCAACAGAAATGGTTAAATTCGATTAACTTAAAGGGTTCTTGCAATACATTTTTCTTAAGAAAACATTTTGTGCAACTGTCTACTCCTCTTAAATGTATCAAACTATTTGACATCCCCTTTTGGTTAATTATTTTGAAAAGTGCACTACTTTAAACATTTAAAAGGTTTCATGCTTTTCTGGACAGCTAGGGCGCTGTTGCTGTGATGTCATTTCAGGAAGACACTGTTCAGTTTCGGGGGTTTCCTGTTCAAAATTGTGAACCCCAAAATGTGTTCATTGAAACAAATTGTCAGAAAGGTTTGCTCATATCATTGGCTTACTGCCATGTACATACACAACAACGAATCACCAAAGAAAAGAAAATTTACGACAGCAAAATATCAAAAATTCTAGCAACTTTTTGCGCTAAAATAACTAACATTTAGGTTATGATTCTCATTTTTTTGATTCTCCTGCTATTGAATCGCTGTTGATATCATGTCAAGACACCATGAAGTGTTAGTGTTATTTTAACACCTTAGTTTGTGTAATGTAAGCAGACCATACCACCACTTCACCTCCAGGTCTACATTTTGTTTAAAGAAAGTTAATTATTATGACAGGTGTTGAAAATTCCATTGTTCAAATTATCAGCACCTTGCACACACATTGTTTGGGTTGGGAAGCCGAAAACAAGCGAAACTGATTAGGTAGATGATAGTAATGGTGGACAAAAGGCCCCTCAGCTCCCTGTCAATAAAGCTGATACAGCTAGCAAACAAACCGAACAAATCAACCAGATAAGCCTCAATCAATATCATAACTTCATATCGGTACATATGGATTTCTGTCTGCATTCGCACATCATATTTAAACCGTCCATTCTCTAGACTCGCATTTTATTTATTTTACTTTTTTTCTATGTGTTTAATGTTTAACTTTTTGTCAAACTTGGTCAGACTATCTCGCTGTCAGTAAATTTTGTTATGTATACAACATCTTTTGCAAGCTGTAAAACTGAATAAATGTCCATACCGACAATTTTATTTTAAGTAAGTTTAACGAAACACTCTAATCCTATACTTATTTGATGGAATTTTGCGTCGGGGTGATGTAAATTCAATGTTAGGTTTTGCCCTTCACTGACGCATAAACACGGTACACTCAGTGTGTTACCTCCCGAGTGAAAGTGAGAAAAAAATCACTCGGGTAGGACTGGAACTTCCACAAGAGGTCGTGGGTTCGAGTCCCACCCGAGTGATTTTTTTTTGTCATTTTCACTCGGGGGTAACACACTGAGTATACAGTGTTTATACGTCGGTGAAGGAAAAAACCTAATATTGAACTGTAATCCTACTTAATCAAACAATAAAAGTAATAGTGTAACATAATTACAAAACAATTGAGGGCATATAGTGATAAGACAGGCATAAGGTTAAGGTGGAAGAATGTTATGGGCCTATAGGAATACGAAACCCCCAAATCTCACTTCTAATTTCTGGCTCAAAGCCCCAAGCAACCTTCAGTACGACAAAATCAAAAAGTCATAGGATTACTTGCGAGTTGCCGTATTCTTTAACATGTGACCCTTTAAAAATGCCCTATATGCTATTCTGAACCACATGATTAATTTAATAGGCTAATATCAATATTTACCACTCCGGCCGCGGCGTTGGATAAGTTTCAAACAATTCGGTTGGTATTCCCAAACGGGAATATCGAGATCTGGACTGCAGTTGACTCGACCTCCTTCTGTCCAAACGCATTTAGAAAGCTTGGCTAGAACGCATGGCGTTCAGGGCGATGAAGTGCACTAACCAATTGGTTATGATTGGTTGGAATTGGGTCATATAAAATGATGGAATGAATCAGTAATGCCGGATGATACTCGGTTCGTCCCGGATGAGAATAATACGAGAGGTTTTCATGAGACATTAATCTCCAATTGCTCCACTCGCTTACATTGGAGGACATTTATGTAAAGAGCGTCTAAACCAGACAAACCTTTTTTTATGG